CAGGGACCGATCAACATAGAGACTGGCGGTCAGTGGGGGGCACAACCAGGAAAAGGCCAAGAGGCATCACCAAACATTGTCATTGCGGGGAGGTTGTTCACTCTGAATACTAATGATGGCCATTTCATTGTTCCACTGCAGATCATTTCAGCAGAAACATCCAGCTACCCTGGAGGCATGGATGGAAACTAAGGTTGTGGGTGGAGCTCAAATAAAGAGCCACTTTTCCCCCAACACCTGGGCTCTTAACCCTGCTTCCAGGAACTGCGCTATCCTGTTAGCAGAACTCTCCAGCCCTCTCCCTCCTCGCTGGTCTCTTTGCCTCCATCTCACTGGCTGTTCCCGTCCACTCTACGTCTCCTGAATGGTGAAGGTGCAAATTGCCTCACCCCACATCTCAGTGACTTCAGGATCACAGACTCATAAACTTTAAGGTCAGAAGGGACCATTATGATCGGATCACAGACTCATAAACTTTAAGGTCAGAAGGGACCATTATGATCTTCTAGTCTGACCTCCTGCACAACGCAGGCCACAGAATCTCACCCACCCACTCCTGTAACAAACCCCTGACCTATGTCTGAGCTATTGAAGTCCTCAACTTGTGGTTTAAAGACTTCAAGGTGCAGAGAATCCTCCAGATGTAGAAGGTGAGGGACTGGATGGCGGGGGGAGTGAGAGCCGAAAAGGCATGTGCCTAAATCAGATGATAACGCGGGAGGCAGGTGCGTATAAATGAGGGGTACTACTCTGCGTATGGGTGGGGGCAGCAGTGGGTAGGGGAGATACAGGGACTACAATCGGAGGACATCTTTTTGGTGACACAAACATTTTGCGAATTGGTGTCGCTTTCGTTAGGTCCTTCACGTCGAAACAAAAACAAAGAAAAATTCTGGAAAAAAAATCAAAACATTTCCATATTTTTCTTGCAAGCAACTTTTTGTTTAGAAATTTCCTTTCATATTATTTAGGAATTTTTTTTTAAATGTTAAAAAATGCTCAAAACTGAACCAAACATTCCACTGCAGGGGGAGCAGAATGGTTCCTTCGCCTCAAACTGATTTTTTTTCTTCCAATTAGCCAAACATTTTGGAAAAATTCATTTTCAGTTTGACCCCAAACTAATCTTTTTCCTCCCAGAACTGCCAGTGAACAGAACTGTTTCTACTAGAAGCAATCCAGAGCAGTGCGGAGACCATGTGCTGTGTGTGGGCATTTTTTTTTTTTTGGGTCCATCTAAATAAGCAAAGCTCTAAAGCTGCTGTGCTGGCCTCTTGAGGGCTGGCACGGGGAATGTAGCAGGGCGAAGGATGGTGCCGTGTGTCTTGATGTATTAAACGCTGGCTTGTCAGCTCTGAAAGCGTGTCAGATGGAGATAAAAGCAGAGATCTGTGCAGCATGAGACCTGAGAAATCCAGCACTGGGATCTCAAGACAGGGGCTCTCTTCCCCAATCCACGTGCCATCCTGCAAGCGAACTCCTCCCTGCACTGTCTGTGCAAGTATCAGGGGTCAAGAGTGGCCATGAATTCTGGGAGCCCAACTTGAGACCCCCGGGGCCAGGTTTGACCAGGCCTTGGGGTTCCTGTGGGTGCGCTTTCTCTGCCAACACCTGATTTGCTGGCACAATCAGGCACAGGCATGCCCAAGTGACATTGATTGGGGCCCACAATTTTTGTACTCACAACCTCAGGCGCAAACGCAGTGAAGAGCTGTAAATCTGGCCCCTGGAGCCTGGTTATTAGAGGTGCCGAGAGTCACTGACCCCAGCTTGATCTGCAGCTGCTCTGAAAATCAGGCCCCAAAGGTCTCAAGTTGGGCCTTCAAAATTGGTGGCCTGTTGAAAATCAAGACCTCAGTCTTCAGTGCAGCCACCTGCAGGGATCCTGCAGTTACTAGTCTGGAGCTAGAAGGCTTGTGGGGGGCAGAGGGTGAGGAATCCTGGCCCCGCTGAAGCCAATGGCAAAACTCCTGCAATGAGGCCTGGACCTTATGCGCAATGATTGCAAAGAACAGTCTGTAGGATGCGTTGTCTCTGTTTAGAATTCGAGCTCTGGAAACCATGCGGAGCACCAGCCAGGCACAGGCTGGCATGTACAAAATCAGAAGAATCCAGAGTGAGCGAAAGCATTGCCATGGCAGAACAGAGCAAACAGCAAATACCTGGCCTGGAGGCAGCCATCCCAACCAGCAGAGGATGCAACTTACTGCCACGGAGAAACTGAGCCCATCGGCAGATTCTTTTATATATTAGATCCGGGAAAACTCTCCATTAACGCAAGGGAAAGATGGCCTTGTGGGCGGGGCACCAGACTGCAATTCAGGACATCAGGGTTCTATTCCTGCCGCTGTTACAGACTCAGTGCGTGACCTTGGTCAAGTCACTTAACCTCCGTGTGTGCCCTGGTTTCCCCATCTATGAACTAGAGATGCTGATGCTTCCCAACTGCATAGAGTTGCTGTGGTGATAGAATATAGGTAGCTAAACAAGACAACCACACATCAGGCAATGCAGAAGGTCAGGTCCCCACAGAGTTGGAAGGGAGATATTCATCTCCAGGCGGCTTTTCTCTCTCCAAAACCCTTAGTGATGGCAGCGTTACGGTCACAGTGTGGTCCTCACGACAGTTTGCTTGGATTCCCCTTGTACGAAGCAGGGCAATTGGAACCCCGCTCTGCAGGGCACAGGGCTCTCCCTGATTGGGTTCAGCTGGAATATGCCACGGTTTGGTTGGGCAAAGCCCAGCCAGAGTGCAGTTTGTGTAGTGGGGCAGCTCCCAGGGATATCAGGTAGGGAAGGCCATGGAAGCAGGCCAGAGAGAGACTGTTGGGAGGCCCAGAGACAACCCCTCCCCACATGGGGCAGAGAGGAGAGAGGTATCAATAGGGCAAAGGCAGCTGAGGGGGAGCACTAAGGAGACAGACCCCTGCCCTCCCTCCATGTGGATCCCCGGGGGCATTAATGAAGAACGTCTCCCCCAGTGAAAAGCACAAGGAGGGCAGGGACAAGCAGCACACCCAGTCTCCTCTCTGCGAGCCCTGCCCTGTCCTTGGCGGTTCTTTACAGGGACCTTCCTCCTCACCTGAAGAAGGTGTGGTGCTCAATGCAGACCTTCCAGAGCCTCTTGGCAGAGCGGTGGTTGGGCAGCTTGAAGCCAATGGTGCTCTCGAACTGCTCGTACTGGAAGTACAGGAGACAGACTCATGTTATAGCCGGGATTCTTGCTCGGGAGCCGCCTCAGCTCGCGGCCCTGTGGGATGGCTCAGGATGGCGACAGTCTCCTAGCCAAGGTCCCAACAGGAGAATGACAGAGCAAGTGTCTCTATAAACCCTTCCCAGCATGCTCTGGGGCCCAGGCTACAGTGGCTATTCTGTCAGGACTCGGCTGGCGGCAGGGCAGGGTCAGGGCTCACACGGCAGCGGGATAGCCTTGGTGGGTGATCACGTTTTCGTTGGCACTAACCGGCTTTTGGGTGGGAGGAGAATTCTCTGGCGTAAGGAAAAGAAATTTCAAAATGTTCCATTTCCTTTGGGGCGGGGGGATAATCCCACTTTTGCTCCCTTTTTCAGACCCTTCCCCCCTTTCTGCCCCACTGGAAATAACAGATGAGACAGTGGGTTTGGTTTGTTCCCCGCTGAAATGAATTTGGGGGCCTCCCGGTCCTGGTGCAATGCAACAGCGATGGACCTTTCCAGCACACAAGCACCCTTGGGAGAGAACAGACTTCCTGACATCTGCCCGGGAGGTAAGGATGGACTCTCCCCCATGCCCCCCCACTCCCAAGGGACGGGCTCTCGTAAGAGACACCCACCTCGCCGGGGCGGATTTTGATGTAGAAGTTGCTCCTCTTGTAGGAAATCTTGAGGATCTTGGGCCAGGCAAAGCGGTTTATCCTCAGCCTGTCCCTGTAGATCAGCAGGCCGTTGGCACAGACGCCCAGCATGATGTCGATACCTTCTGAGTCCTGAGGGAAGCCAGAGGGGAGGGTTAAGGACAAGGTAGGAGGGTTAGTATTTGGCCAGCAAATAGCTCTCCAGCTACCCCCTGGCAGTGGGGTCTAGCAGGGTGTTCAGAGCCAGCACCACGCCAGGGGCCATAGCCTGGCTGGTAATTTGTATCTGCAGCCAACTGTAAAATGCTGCAACTGCATTCCCTCCAGAGCAGGCAGTGCCACTGGGCTGCTCCCACACATCCCGTGGTACCCAGGTCCCCTGCTGGAGATGCCAATGGGGAGAGGCTGGTGGGAGGGGGACGTTCCCACTCAGGATGGGGCAGGAGGTTTGGAGAAACACTGTGGCTGCCGTTCACAGCTGCGAGACACCGGTGCTCTTTTGTGGGGGTTTCCCGCCCTTAAAAGGGCAATTCCATCTTCTCATGGCTTTGAGCTCCGGGGCAGCCTCTGGGGTGGAGAGACAGGACCACGCCCCCAGCAGCTCAGCCAGCACAATGGGGCCCTATCTACAACGTACTGACCGGGTGAGGTTTTCAGAAGCACCTAAATCACTAAGGAGCCCAAGGCCTTGCCTATGCAAGGTGTCCACTGTCACTCTCAGGGTGGAGGTGGGATCCTGGCTCAGATGCCATCAAGCTGGCCACAATAGGCGCAGGTCTTGGGGGCAGCTCTAGGCTGGAGGTTGCGCTCCTTCGTCTTCTGGTATGCTCCTTCCCCTTTGCCTGGCATCAGCCCTTGACCCTGCTGAGCCTTAGGTTCTCCATGGCCTTTGCAAGGGCAGAGTACGTATCTGTAGTCCTGTGGGAATGCCACAGCTGTGCTCTGCATTCCTCCCCCCACAGGCCGAGGAAACCTTTGGACCTGGCTCCTGGACCATACAGCAACTGGAGCTGGAGCCAGGCTTGTCTAGGTGAGCTTGCAAAGATGGCAGGGAAAGAGGCCTTTCTAAAACACGCTGGGGATTTTAAATGGGGGTCAGGCTTCCCTGCACTGTGAGCCTCCCAGCAAGCAGAGCAGTCACTGCTGCAGCACCAGGTGCATTGTAGGCTTGTTGCTGGAGGACTGTTTATACCAGCTCAGGCACTTCGGTGTCCACACACGCCTTGCGCTGGTAGAACTGTACTTGGTGGCGGGAGCGAACGTTGCCCGGGGAGCTGGTTTCACTTTGCCGGCAGGAGCAGAGAGTGTGGTCAGCAGGACTCGCGGCTGAGTGCGCACGGAGGCAAGGCCATGCCCACAGAGGGACAGTGGTAACGCTGGCCAGCAGCTGTCTGTGTAGTCAGACAGCACAGGGTGAGCTTCCCACGCCGCTCCGCCCTGGACCTCCCGCCTGCTCTGCAGGGGTCCAAGAGGAGCTAGTTCAGTCAGCGAGGCCTTGGCACCTCTGCTGAGGTACCTAACGAGGGGTGTAATTAGCCCCAGTTGTGATGTGGGCACTTGTCAACTGTGAACTGGGCTGAGACCCACCCACTCCATTTATAGGCTGGTAACCACTATCAGCCATTACCAGCCTGGGCTGGATACAAACACGTTACCCTGGGTGAAAACGACCATGTTGCCCCTTGTCTGTTGTGTTCTTGTGAGCAAGGCAGACGCTTCCCTGCCTCGCTCTTGGACAGGCCTAGCAGCTTGACATGGGACTGGCCTGCCAGCTGCTGCCTGTAGCATACGCTGCAATAAACAGCTAAGGGCATCCCCAAACTGGCCAGCTTGCTCTGCACAGAGCTGTGCTGCTGGCTCAGAGGATCAGGGCGGGCAGGGAGTGAGCGCAGGCCCTGGCGGATGGGTCACATTTCGGGACTGACAGTGTCTCCTAGATGCACTCCAGTCCCGGATGACAGGGCAGAGAGGCCCCACACGAGTGCACCAGGGACATGGATGTCCCGGCTTGGATGAGACGAACGGCAAACTTCTCAGTGCCCTCACCTCCTGAGAATGGAAAGCCACTGGGATCCTTGGCACCGGGGGCACAGGGACATCACGTTGTCCAGAGACATCCGCAAGGGACAGCGGGGGAGAGACGGAGAGAGGAAATGAGGGACAGAGGGAGGTTCCCATTGCAATCGGGAGTGGGACTGCCACACATCTAGGCATACCCCACGCTAGCGCTGATCTAGCTAGATCAAAGCTAGCTCCAGTAACAACAGCAGTGAAATCCTGGCAGCACGGGCAGCAGCACGGGGTAGCTGCTCAGGTGTGCATGGAGATTCCTGGGCGGGCAGGGCTAGCTAGACCGACGCTAGCTTGGGTCTGTCTGCATGTGCAGCAATCACATCTCCTGACTGCAGCATAGATACACCCAGAGAGTGTGTGAGACGGGGGAGAAAAGGAGCGAGGCAGAGGAGTGAGGAGCTCTGAGGAGAAGCACAGAGAGGGCTCCTGTGCTCTGATTCCGGGGGCTCAGTACCTTGGCGTGGTGCAGGTCGACGCCGTACATGGAGAGCTTCTTGGCATTCTCCAGGAAGTGGATCTCCGCTTCGCCCGGCGTCATGCCCCTGGGAAGGAGATGGGGAGCAAAGAGAGGCTGATTAGAACCACCCCACTGCTGGCAGCTGCACCCTGCGGGCGTGGGGAGGTTCGGGGGTCTGGTCAGGGGGAATTGCTCGGGAGATGAGCACTGGGATGCTATTAGCAGGGAACCCGGGCCAGCACCAGGGCTCCCTCGCAATGCCTGGCGGGGCACAGCCGTTTGGATCCCTGCCCACAAGAAGGGAGGAATGGCCGAGCTGGAGGGGAGCCCAACCTGTAGGTCTTGTGCAGCTCCATGATGCGCTCCTCCAGCTCTCTGGTCTGGTTGGGTGCGAAGTGCAGCTCGCTGACGTAGTTGCCGACGTGCTCCTCAGCGTCGTAGTCTCCCAGCTCAGCCTGCACGGCGTAGGAGCCCAGCAGGGCGTGCGTGACAAAGGAGCACGGCAAGCGGCCCGTGATGATGTCAGCCCGCAGCTGCAGACACAGGTAGTATCTGGGGGGGAAAGGAGGAGCCGCTGGTGAGATGGGGTGAGGACAAAGGGAAACGCCTTGGTGAGCTCTCCGGGGGGCCAGGCAGATTCTAAATGGCCCAGGGGTCCGCCCATCGGAGGGAGATGGTCACTGGGGTGGGGTACATGGACATGAGGCGCACAGCCAACAACAGTTAAAGCCGTCACTGTGCCCCTGTGACCAGGAGCAACCCCCCGCCCCCCCCCCCGGACCCCCCCCCCCCCCCCCCCCCCGTCTCATGCCCCTGCGCTCAGGACGGACTCCCTCGCCCTCTGCCAGGGATGGACCCTCCGCCCCATGCCCAGGATGGACCCCATTGCTCATGGCCCCAGACCTGGGTCAGACCCTCCCACCCAGTCCCCCCCACAACACACCCAGAGGAACACAGTCAGACCCTGCGCACGCACGCACATCTCCTGCACTCTGCCACACTACACACTGGGCCAGTCCCCTCCCTGACCCACCCAACACACACAGGTGGCCACGTCCTACACACAGGTGGCCGTTAACACACACACAGTCCCATCCATCGTGCCGCTGGCTCTCTGGACAGATGCTGTCTGTCAGGGAGGGGAGGAAGAGCCCTGGGGTGTGGCAGCGTATCGAGTGCCCCATGGCCCCTCACCTTGTGATGTCCTCTGTGAGCTGGGCAGGGTCGGGTGGGTAGAATTTAACAGTGAAGGCAAAGTTCCAGGGGCCACCTAGGGAGAGGAAGAGAGAGAGAATAAGGGGGAGCACGTTCCCCATGTGCCTAGGACACGTCCTCCCCGAGGGCACCCGCCCCCCAGCCTGGACTCAGTGTAGGGAGCCCATGCCTGTGTCCCACCCCTTCCCAACACCCAGGGCCCCTGGGGCAGGCAGAAGGATGAGGCGATTCCCCTGGGGTTGCTACCCGAGCGCCCAGAGAGATTAACCCGCCGACCATGGGTTGCTCAGGGGATCTGCAGACTGTGCTTCCTGCAGACCCTACCACCGTCTGTCCAGCCAAGAGCATCACTGGCCCAGGCGAGACCTGCCCAGCCTCCGCCATGCAGGGACGCCACCTCTTCCTGTCGCCACAGCAACAAGCCCCGCATTTCCCAGCAAGGTTCCCTGAGGTCCACCATTGGTGAGGGCCCCCCCACACCCCACAACGTCTCTGCAAGCCACTGCCCGGCCCAGCTAACCAGCCTGCTGGCCTGCTTTGCCACCCCCCACTCTCAGCCAGTCCAGGATCTCCTACTCCTCCTCCAGCTGACCAGCCCCCACCCTGCTCTGTCAGCCCGGGAACCCACTCCCGGCCAGCCCGGGTTCTCCTGATTGCCCAGCGGGGCAGAACCGGAGCTCCCTCTGGGCGTCACGTCAATCCAGCCCCTCCCCACCCATTCTCCGAGGGAGCAGGGACTGTCACAAGGACGTCTGTTAGCAGCTGGGTGGATCCTAGGGCACCTGCGTTGGATGCTGGGCAGGGTCACTGCTGTGGATAAGGATGGGGATCCCCACCAGCTACAGAGGCTCTGCAGCCCCCCACTGTGGGTAAATCTAATGACTCGTGGGCATTTGATGGTAGCTGGGAATCCCGCTGCCAAGGAGCCCCAGGGCCTGCACACCTCAGCAGCAGAAGGCAGCCACACGCCCTCAGCAGAGGGAGCAGACATCACCCCCTTCATTCACTGCACCCTCTCCCAAGCCAAGGGGCATCGCCCCGACACAGCCGCAAGAGACGCAGACACGAGGTCTGATTCCCTATCTCACAACAGCTTCACGTCAGGACCACCCAGTGACTTCAGGGGAGCGGCTCCCGACGGACAACGGTGTGAGTGAGAGGAGAACGCGGCCTGCAGAGCTCCACAGAGATGCCCAGCTGTGTGTTCACTGCAGGGAGAAGGAGCAGCAAAGCCATCCAGCCAGTTGCCATAAGAAAGGTCCTCCACAGGAAAGGTGACACGTGTGGTCCATCGGCTACCGGAGCCCTGCTCTGGATGCCAGCCTGCCCCTTCTGCCAATGGTGCACACAGCACCAGCCATGCATTCCCCAGCTGTCCCTGACCGGATGCCAGTGGCCCGGTTTTCAGAGGAGCTGAGCAGCATCTGCAGCTCACATCCACCTCCAGGGGAACTCCAGGCGCTTGGCATCTCTGCGAATCAGGCTCTTATTCCACCTTTCCCCTTGCTTCTCTTGCCCCCCTTGGGCTGCACCAAGGGGACGGAGTTCCCACCGGGGCAAGCAGAATGGGGAGGTAACAACTCAGAGCAGTGGCAGCTGCTGAATTCCTTTGAAAGCCTGGCCAGCACTGGGGGCAGCTCTGAGGAGGGCATGGCCCAGGCCTACCACATGGGGGGATGGCACCCCCAGCACACACACTGGGCGACTTACTGCGGATCTGCTTTTTGATTTCCTTGGAAGGGTCCAGCCAGTTCTGAAACAACAAGAAATAGCACAACCAGGGGTCACGGCTGTGGTCTGGCGGGCGGGGTGGGGTGGGGCTGGGGAGGGGGGCATCAAACGGGCCCAGCAAAGGGCTGGGTGCCCCAGCCTTACCTTCTGGCTGTCAGAGTCGCAGAACGTCAGGCCGAAGTAATCCTTCTCCAGGAGGTTGAGGTGCTCACACACCATGTCGAAGAGCACCTGGCCCCGGGCATGTTTCTGCAGGAGACACAGCCGGGCAGGGGAGTTGGAGCCAGGATCCCCCTCCCCCTTTCCAAGGCCAGTCATGCTGCAGCTGCCCATCAGAACACAGGCAAAAGCAGGACCCGGGGGATGCAGGAAGTCTCTGCCCCTTGCTTTCCCCTCCCAGCGACCAAGCGTAATCACAGCCCATGCTTGCCTGGGCTCGGCACTCTGGGAGTGCCCCTGTGGGCACAAGTGTCACCCCAAAGGGGACAGAGAAGGCTGGGGAGAAGGGGAAGGCAATGGCTCCATCGAGGGTGTGGCTGTAGGCATGCTCCCCCTGGCTCAGAAGGACAATGTGCCTTCCAGACTGTCCCCTGGGATACCCCGAGTCAGTATCCAACACCCTGCATCCCCTCTCCGCTCTTTCTGGGCTTGGCTTTACTGGGGACTCAAACAATAACAGCACAAAACTCAGCCTGAGCTCCCTCCCTGCGCTCAGCCGCCCCTAGGGTTTCCCTCCAGGACATTCCTGTCCCAGCTCCCTAATCCCCTATCCCCAGAGAGCCAGCACCACCTCCTATATATTCATGGGACAGATTCATTCAATGAACTGATCCTGCAACAACCAGTTTCGGCAGCTTGGTGCAGAGTTTTAACACCGGCAAATAGGGCGGATGCACATCCGAAGAAGTGGGTATTCACCCACGAAAGCTCATGCTCCAATACATCTGTTAGTCTATAAGGTGCCACAGGACTCTTTGCAGCACCACATTATAGGGCAGTGTACGTGTTTACCGCTCTAATGTGGGATGTAGCCAGGATCTGGGTGATGGAGACCTACCCAGCTGCTGGCACATCTCCCACTTTAAAGCAACACAGGTGCAGAGTAGCTGCTATACTAGATCTGAGCAGTGGTCCAGCCAGCCCAGGAGCCTGTCTTTGCCCAGCACCAGATACCTGAGAGGAATGTCCAGGAAACATCACAGTGGGCAATTCTGCAATAGCCTGCCTGCAGGGGTAGTTCCTTCCTGACCCAGACAGTTAGTGGCTGCTTAATGCCCTGAAGCAGGAAGGTTTATACCGCTTATATTCCTATATTTATCCTGTCTAATTAATAGTGGGTGTTCTGATTATCCAGTTAAATGTTCCATCCTCATCTGAATCCTACCAAGCATTTGGCCTCTTGCTATCTTATGGCAGTGAGTTCCACAGGCTAATTATGTGGCTAGAAGAATAATTTCTGTTGATCAGTTTTACATGAGTTACCCTCCAATTTCACTAAGTGGTTCTTTGTCCCTGTAATATGAGACTGGATAATTGGGGCACCTGATCTCCCTTCTCTAGACCATCCATTCTTTTATATACCTTTATCATATCCCCTCTTTTTTACCTTGATTCTAAATTAAAGTCCCAATCTTTTCAATCTCTCCTGATAAAGAAATCTTTTTATGCCTCTAATGGGTTTAGTCTCCCATCTCTGGACCCCTTCTGTTTCTTCCTATATCTTTTTTGATATAGGAGTACTGCAGAGCAGAATTTGTTCAGGAAAGGGTATTGGATTTATGTGTTTGATCCCTGCTTGTTTTTAAGGGATATAAGTATTGTCTAGAATGCACAACTAAGGCAAAAATATACATACGGGGGGAGAGGGGGAAGGGAGGGAGGGATGAAAAGGGGAGAGAAAGAAACCATAAATACAGCACAAGCCCCCTTTTAATAAAGCAATTTTTTTTTTCCCCAAAGGACTTTTCTCTGAGCAGAGGTTCCTCACTAGCCAAAATTACCATTTGCACAGCACAAAAGATTGCAACAATCTAGGACTTTAACTTGACTCCACTGTAAATGGAATCTCATAAGATCAGAGTTCACCACCGACAGCTTCTACTATAAACAAAACAGTAGCGGAAACAAAGGGCAATAAGATACCAGGAGACTACTGTTTCCTAAGCTACATACAGGAGTAGTATTCTGATAAGGAAACAGCAAGATATGGCTTATGTATCTGGTATGATGCAGATATTTGTGGGAGCACGCTTGTGTCTGTTGTTGGGTAAATATTAATCAGAGTCACCCGGGAAGGGTGACGAAATCCATGTGCTGTGTCAGGGCTCGGAAAAGCTCCTCTCTCCTGCTTTAAGAGATCATTTCAGTTGCTATAATGATTCATTCTATTTATTGCTTTGTGACAATCAGTGTTTCTGCAGTAAATAAAAACGCAGTTATTAAAAATGACAGTTAAAGCATGGGGCTGCTGGAGGGTTGAGATCAATGGAGCAAAGCTGACTCAGATTCCTTCACCCACTCAGTCCCAGCCACAGGCTTTAATATTCCCATTCATCTATGGAAAACTCAAGGCCGTGGTTCTGACATTAATTTATGCAATAGAGACTTCTGAGACCCATGACCTAAACACAGACTGATGTCTTCTCTGTCTGCTGAGCTTCTAGACCACGAGCACCAGGGCTCAAAATATTCAGTCACAGCCTTCCAGATGAGCGTGGGGCACGGAGGATACAATTTCTGCAGAACCTCAGCTTTTATATTGTTAAAAATACATTTCCAGCCCTCATGGCTCTTAGACAGTGTTTCTCAAACTGAGGTCGCCGCTTGTGTAGGGAAAGCCCCTGGCGGGCCGGGCCGGTTTGTTTACCTGCCCCGTCCGCAGGTCTGGCCAATCGCGGCTCCCACTAGCCGCGGTTCGCAGCTGCAGGCCAATGGGAGCTGCTGGAAGCGGCGGCCAGTAAGTCCCTCGGCCCGCGCCGCTTCCAGCAGCTCCCATTGGCCTGGAGCAGCGAACCGCGGCCAGTGGGAGCCACGATTGGCCGGACCTGCGGACGGGGCAGGTAAACAAACCGGCCCGGCCCGCCAGGGGCTTTCCCTACACAAGCGGTGACCCCAGTTTGAGAAACACTGCTCTTAGACAACCTTCCAGACACAGAGTGTAACTCAATTAAGTGCCATCTTCCTGAGTCTACAGACAGGCAGCTCCAGTGCCTCTGCTGCTGCTCAGAGCCTTGCAGAGCAGCAGCTGAATGACATTAACAAGAAGGGTCAATTTCATGACTGCTGTCCCAAACAGGTGAGGAGCAAGGAGGGCAGCAAAAAAGCACTCAGTTTTATGCCACAATTTATGCTGCTTGGGACAACTCCAAACAGCAGTAGACGCTGTTTTGATTTGATATAAAATGAAAAAAAAAATCATTGTACAGATTTGGCGATTTCCCCCCTCTCCTTTTTTTCTTATTATCCCCTTTTTCCACAGGAGGGGGAAATGCAGAGGGTGGGGGACAAAAATAAAAACATTTGAAAATTTGTCATTTCAGTTCAAATCAAAATGATGATTTTTTTTCCTAATTGACATTTTTCGTTTTGTTTCATAAACTTCAGTGACAAATTTTCATTTCTTTCAAAAGGGCCCAGAGCAGAGCAGGGGTTGACCACCCTCCGGCATCTAAGAAAGATGGCACCTATGGCTTTGTCCCAGGGGTGAAAGTAACTTAAAGGACTTACCGGTACACTGGAGTCCTGAGCAGGGGCGTGGCCTCAACCAGAAGAGGCGTGGCCTCAACCGGAAGAGGTGGGGCCTTTCATGGTTTAAAGGCCCTAGGTCTCCAGCTGTGGCTGGGAGCCCCAGGGCCTTTAAATCACCCCGGAGCTACCAGTTGCAGAGGTGGCTGGGAACCCCGGGGCTCAGGGGCAAATTAAAGGGCCCGGGGCTCCGGTCGCCACGGAGCTCTGGGCCCCCCCAGGGGAGCCCTGCTGCCATGCTGCAGCGGCTGGAGCCCTGGGCCCTTTAAATCACCGCCGGGGAAGCCAGTCCAGTCCGGCATGGCGTACCGGCTCTTGCCGGTACGCCGTACCAGACCGTACCGGCTTACTTTCACCTCTGCTTTGTCCACACCTTCTTCCCTCCCATTGGCTAATCCCACTCTGCAGCAGTGATACTCAGTCCTCAATGGTTCAGGAGCCAAATCAGTAGTCAACATTACCCAAAAGAGCCACAGTAGTGAGAATTCATTGCTTCGTTTACTATTTTGACGTATCTATCTACGGTATTATCCTCACATCAAAATGACTGACCAAGTATTCTCCAATTGGTTAATAACAGAGTAAACGCATCGTGACTGGTTAATAACTTAGACTGGCTAATAATGAAATCACACTGTTTTAATTTCATGTGCTGCAAAGAGCTACAGGGGACACGTTAAAGAGCCGCTTGCGGCTCGCAAGCCTCAGTCTGAGTATCACTGCTCTGCCTGCTGCAAGAACTCCTTCGCTCTCTAGCGAGGCCAGCCGCTATCCCAGTGACACAGGCTCACTCTCTCACTCATTCTCTCTCTCTCACACACACGCGCCTACGCTTCATTTTTGCCATGCTACACAAATAGCAGGCAGCCCCCGTGCAGAAATGCATGAGTCAGACTTGCATTCTCGCTCCATTCTTGTGCGTGCGTATGTGTGGACGTGTGCACTTGGGGATTCGTCTGTGTCTACGTGAATGTGTATTTCTGTTATTGACCCAGACAGCTCACAGCGCCCTCGGTGCGCTAAGAGGCAGAAATGGCTTCCGGCAAGGGAGAGCTCTGCTCTGAAGGTGAGAACTCAGAGGATGGGGGATGAGACATGGAGCTACGCCACTGGCTTGTTCCCAAACCCGTGTGCTCATATCTGTGCATGCAGGTGTACAAATATGTCCCTTGGCATGTCTCTATGTGCACTCATGTCTCTGAAAGTGTGGGTCTATGTGTGTCTATCTATGCCTATGTACACACATCTCTCTGGTTGCACATGCACGTGTCTGCCCGTCTCTGGGTGTAGGAGTGTGAACGTGCACATGTGAAAACGTGTGTCTCTATGTGTGTCCGTAAATGGGGGTGGAGGGAACACTGTGATTAGACAAGGAGCCTGGGGAGGGAGGCTGGGACTAGGAGTCAGTGAGGAAGGGAAATGTGGGCGGGGATGGTGTGTGACTGGAGGCAAGGGGGAAGGACAGAGACATATCCCATGGGGCACTGGGAAGAGGGAAACTGGAGCTGGCTGGGCAAGGAGATTGGGGCTGGAATGAGAATCCTGAGGTGTGGGGAATAAGACTGGCTAGGTGAGGAGAATGTGACCGGGACGAGGAGCCAGGGATAGAGAAGAGACAAGACTGAGACAGGGACAGGTTGGAGGGGATGGGGCGGATGGGTCAAGCTTGGAGGGGTAGGGGAATGGGCAAAAGAGTATGTGCCCACCAGAGCACGTTTCCCACCAGAGCCTGGAATGGAACCCAAGATTCCTGAGTCTCACCATTCCTCTGCTCTCAGCAAATATGAGAGAAACCCACTGGCAAAGTGTGTGTCTCATCCCCCTCTAATGCTGGCCCACGTACAGGATAACAACCTACCACTGCTATCACTTACTCAAGTGGCTGAGGTCTCTGAGATGGATCTAAAGGTTCTATCCCTGCTGATGGACCCATGTGGGAATCAATTCAATACCACATGAAGGAATTTCTGTTTTTTCCAGTTTGCCTTTTGTAAAACCTAGGAAATCTACATCCAAAAAAACTACGTTCAAGGAACATTCTTAAGGTTGCAAAGTCAAGTGCTCAGAAGTTAGGAAATGGCAGAATTAAGGTGGCCTGTGACATTGTGAGCATGCACTGTGATAGCCCTCAGTTACACAATCATATATTTTGGCCCCAGCATCCCTGCTCCATTCCATGGACCTGAATCAAGGTTATTAGTGAAGGAGATTGTCTGTAGGACCCATTTCGTTTGCTGCAGAAGTTGGAAGGCATGTAGTGAACAAGATAGGAGATTGTAGGAAGTGAAAGGATGGTCTCATAACTAAGGCAGTTGAATGCTTCCCTGGGGAACTGGATTCTATTACTGCCTCTGCCACAGAGTTCCTGGGTGATGCTGGCCAAGTCACTTAAACCAAACTTTTCACGGGTGAGCACTAATTGCATGTTCTTCATTTTCTGGATGCCTGATTGAGAGCCTGCAGTCTGATCTGCAGCAGTGTTGAGCATTCACAGCTGTCACGAGTTGATGGGAGCTGTGCTTTGAACACATGAAGTGCTTTATAAGAGAAAGTTCCTTATCTTACAATAACCGGCTACTACGACAGAGAACACCTTAGTGAAGGCACTGCGGGTGGGAGCAATGCTGAAAGGGAGCACTCTGTACTGAAAGTGGATGGAGCGGACTATGAATCTGAAAAAGCGTTGATGAGCAGGGTGAATGTCTGCGTGAAAGTAGATGTCCTTCATGTCAAGAGCTGTAAACCACAGGCCTTTTTCCAGGGGTAGAATTACAGATGCCAACGTGACTTTACAAAACTTGGAGTTTGTGCACAAAGCGGTTGAGGTGGCGGAGGGCGAGAATGGGTCTCCAACCGCTTTTCTTTTTGGGGACTAGGAAATAGGTTGAGTAAACACCCCTCCATTGGCACTGAAGAGAACCCGCTCTCTCGCTCCTCGCTGTAAGAGAGATTCTGCTTCTTGTTTGCGAATGTTCTCATGAGAGCGGCCCCCAAGGGAGGGTGGGCGAGGGGTTTTTGGAGAGGGTAGGGATGCAAACTCTATCACACAGCCAGAATGGATAATGCAGAGCACCTATCCGTCCATTGTTATGGTACTCCAGGTGTTGATAAAGAGTGCTAGACAACCACCACAGGGTGTGTAGTAGTCAGGAGGTGTTGGACTCAGTGGTTTGCAGTTCTCAAGCTCCCATCAAAAATAACATTTAGCCAAGGGCTGGGACCACACTGCAGAGGTGTGAGGAAGGGGATCTTTTGAGCTGTCTGCCTCTTGTGGGATGGCTTATAAGGTCTCTGGTGGAAGAACTGTTGAGCCATCCAATCTAGGCTTGTATTATCGCTGGTGGAATTTTCTCTTTGGGCAGGTGTATATTCCCAGGGAGCGGATGGTGGCCCTGGAGTCCTTTAAAGTGCGTAAGGACTCATCCATCTTTGGACTGAACAGATGAATCTCATCAAAGGGCAGGTCCACACTGGGGTTGTGAATCTCCCAGGGAAACCCCAAAGCATGGAGTCACGAGTCCCTGCAGATCATGATGACAGTAGCCGTTGCCCTGCAAGTTGTGTCAGCTGTTGTTAGGGCACACATGTGGACCAACGGACTCTGCTTTCAAAACACTCCATCTCCAGGTGCACGAAGCGCATGCATCCCCACAGAGGAATACAGGTAGGGACCAGCTCTAGAAGAAGAATGCTAAATACTCTGAAAAAATCAGATCCCAGGTGTCTCAAATTGGACACCCAAATTGAGTGGATACCTTTGACTTTAATCTCTTTATGCCTCAGTTTCCCATCCATAAAACGGGGATAATCCCCCCTCATCTTAAAGGGGAGTTGTGAAGATACATTCATTAATGTTTGTGAAGCACTCAGATACTGTAGTAATGAGCAGCATAAAAAAGCCCATGTGGAAACTTAATTCTGGCTTCCGAGCAGGGTTGGAACAGCAGCAGTCAGTGAGCTCTGTGGCCACACACTGAAGAACGAGGAGAAAACAAAACATGGAAGAGCTGCTCACTAAGGCTACGTCTACACTTTGGGCTCATCAAACTAGCATGAGCCTAAACAGCAGTGTAGCCGCAGTAGCACAGGTAACAGCAGTGGAGGCATGGCTGCCGTGCTGAGTATATACCCACCAGTTTTAGGCAGGTTTATATGTGGCTAAGCCATGCCTTGACTGCTGCTACCGATGCTACTGCAGGTACTGTTATTTATTCTCCCGCTAGCTCGATGAGAGGTAGCGCAACTCCGTGTACATGCGCAGGGAATCACACCCCTGGCTTGTAGTGCAGATGGTACCTAAGTGAGCATCATCCATTCTGTGCACTGGATGAGGCAGGGGTCCTTTGGATGTGATCACGTCATTAAAGACTGTATCAGAATTCATCTGCGTGAAGGAGACAAATTAAGGCTGCACAGGTAACCTTAATTCTGGCAATTCCTAACTTCTGAATGTTTGACTCTGCAACCTTACTAATGTTCCTTTATTGTAGCTCTGTGTGTGTGTGTGTGTGTGTGTGTGTGTGTGTGTACACACACACACATATAGGCATGTCTGTCTACCAATGTGAGTGACTGTGAGCACGTGTCTGCGTTCACCTGCCTGTCACATGTTTTTCTTTCCCTCTCTCTCTCTCCTTAGTCCAGTCCGTTTCTATTTTATACCAATCCTGACAGCCACATGAGCGCCATTAATTTGTGCATCTGACATTGCAGTGTTGTGAGAGGAAGGAGGCCCCTTTACTGTGCCCTGCTGCAGCTCAGCAGTCACCTCCTTCCCAAACCACGAAGGCTGCCATGCTGCAGTGCAAGGCCTGGTCCTGTTACACAGCCTGAGGAGTGGCTCCAAGCCAGGGCCTGTCTAGACCTCTCGCCCTGAGAACGGCTGCCATGTCGGAGGTGCAGGGCCCTGCATTCAGCCAGCTGCTGGCCGAAAGCGGGGAGCAGCCTCCCCGTCCCGCGCAGCCTCTGGTCTCCTCTCACACAGCTACGGGGCGGGGATGTCCACACCTGATTCCCGCTGGGCTGCCAGACCCATTTCTCTGGTCCAAAGCAGGTTGGCCTCCCGCTATAAAACCAAGGGAGTCGCAGATTACAAAGCCAAGAAGACCTGTTAGCTAGCCCAAGGGTGGCCAAACTTACTGACCCGCCGAGGTGCATCCAACGATCTTCAGAAGTTTGAGAGCCGAGGCGCACCTGTCAGGATTCAGCCCCTTGGGAGGCACCTGCTATGGCTTGGGGTTTCAGCCCTGCTCCTGCTGAAGCCCCGAGCCCCAGCAGGCACACCCTGTAGGGCTGAAGCCCTGAGACCCACCTCCCCGCTGGGCAGAAGCCCCTACCTCACCACCCTACTGCAAGGCAGAGGTCCTGAGCTGCCCCCCACCCAGTCTGGTAGGTGGAGAATGGAGGAGGGGCATGGGGGCATCCAAGAGCCGCACTTTAACTGTAAAAGAGCCGCATGTGGCTCCCGAGGTTTAGCCTGAGCTCCTGTGTGACGCAGGCCCTAGGACGTCCCTGAATTCAATCCTGTGTGAACTAGTGCATCTCTTTGAGAAAAATGTCCAATCTTCGTTTAAAACTTGCCAGTGACAGAGAATCCCCCACAGCCCCAGGTAAGCTGGTCCAGTGGTTGGTTACCTCACTGTTAAGAGTGAGAAAGGGCACCATGGCCAAGCAGAGCCAGGCAGGGAGGCGAGATGGGGTGACACAGACAGACACATGGGGTTAAGGTGACACACCCCAGTCACTCACCTCCACTTCACACTCATACTCAGAGGCGTCGAGCAGGGTCACCCTGCAGATGGCGCTCTTGAGCTTCTTGGCAATTTTCTGGGGGGATTTCTGGGTCTTGCTGGGCGTGGTTTTCTCAGACAGCCCATCTGTTTCACTGTAGTCCTTCTCCTCCAAATCCATGCCCTGGAGGATGAGAAACATGTGTTACCCTCCTGCACCCGCGTGGGGGTCCGGCCGGTGTACCCTGCACTGCCACCAGGGGTTTGGGAGCTATCTCAGGATGAGGCATGCTGGGCTAGTGGGGAGCAGAAAGGGTGGGAGCCTCATTGTCCTCAAACTGGCTGATCCAAAGAGACCCCTCTGGCTTTGGCCTGCATTGAGGGGCATGGGGGGGGGGAATCCCTGTGAGGAGAGAGGAGGGTGGGAAAACCAGGCAAGGGTTGAAGGAATCCCTCCCTCCTGGCCCCTCAGTGAAATGGGAGCTGATGGGAGAGACCGCGAGCGACCCCTCCCTCCCTGCGCAGGAGGTGTTGGCAGCACCATGGGAGTCCCTGCTTCCCTCACGGCAGGGCCGGCTTTAGGAAGTGCGGGGCCCAATTCGAACATTTTCGGCGGGGCCCTGGCAGGGATGACTAAAAAAAAAAA